AACCGAACACAGGCTAGACCTTTGAGCCACTGGAGTAGATTCATGATACTTACAAGATGAGAGAGAAGTGAAGATGTGATGGGTTTTAGCCAGGAAAAGACGTGCAAGGCTGATGTTACAGAGTACTTTTTAATTGATGAAATTCTCAAAAGTTAAGTATTGAAACAAATTAGAAAAATAATCGTCTACTCCATTTGGCACTCGAGAGCATGCGAGTTGTTTCGATCATGGCTCTTTTGTTGCCATATTCAAGAATCTCTCTTAATACACCCATAATATTCCCCGAAAAATAGTCAAAATGAGTGATGGAAGTATCTGAAGGTTCTTGATGAATTTCTATTGTATAATATAAGTCAAATTCGATCATTCTTAGACCTAGCAATCCAATTCTAGTCATGACCAAAATGATCCGCATGCATGTTCCGACTCAGACAATTCCAAATAAGAGCCAAATTTTATCTTTTTATGTAGACAAAAGGTAGAAGGATGAAAAGCAATATATATCACATTAGTCAAGCTTGACAGTAAGAGGTATGCTGAAGTGTGAAAGGGATGAGCTGAGAACTCGAGAATGCTGTCGCTTGTCTCTCAATAAAGTCTGGAAATTCCAGAATTGCTTTGGCTTATGTATGGCGTAACCAATGAGATCTGATAGACCCTAGCTTCTCTATTGATGGACGACCGCTTGAATGTTCACACGAAAATCGTGTATCTGGGTTCAGCTGGGGTACTTATCAGCAACATATCCCTTCGGAAATTGCCATTATTGCTTTGAACGACGCAATGACAATGAAACCGCTTGATGATTGGTAACAATACATTCTAGAGCGGCGATAATGATGATATTTGGTCCACATATACTCCGCCGAAATACTTGCCATGTGAACATAAATCTTGTAGGGTGCTTGGCGAATCACTCGATCTTTCGACTTGGTCATCAGCAAGTCGGCGACCATTCATACAAGCTTTCCGTATCATAGACAGCACGAATAAATGGAACACCACTAAAGGGAAGTATCGTAAGAACGTTGACTCGGGAATTCGGCAGATATACAAACAGTAACGCACGACGTGAAAATGAAGATGATCCCTCACCCCAACAACCCATCACAGCACTAATCACACTTTCCACGTTTCAAGCTGACTTCAGGAAATTTGATGAGCAGTCTGACCATAATGTCATCTCGCACTACTGATAACAAGAACCACGCAAAAGTACGGCGGTTCCTTACTACACCGGTCATTTTAGTCTTTGAACATAGTTACCTATCATTAACTTCATCGAAAATTATAATAAATCTCAAAATGCTGACTTAGAGTAACTTGTAAATATGATGGGAACAATACTAACATCATGCCAGACTATTACTACCCAAAGATATTGTATCGACAATCAGATGGATGGCATGCTGATCTCAACACCATCTGATTGACACCTTCTCCACACTCAAAAATGCTACTTTAACGGCAGTCACTTTACTACCGCCCTGGTTACCGGTCATGACCCTCGGAGTACTTCTTTGCTCTTGATGATTGTTGGTATTCTGATCCCTATGTAAAATATTTAATACTCTTTGTATTTGAAATATCCGGAAATACCAACATCAAGTGGTCATGTGGCGGTGCGCTTATTTAGTCTAATAGTTATGACTTGGCAGAATCAACTGATTGTCTGATTGATTGACCCCTAGATCTTATTGTTATTATCTCAGGACAAAATCTGCAAAGAAATGAAATAATACTTGATCACACAGTGATAGTAATAGTTAAGTCAAGGCAAAGTATGAAAGATTCTGGCACAGCATTGAACGAAACCCTAACAGTTAAGCTTATTGCACCAATTAGGAATTTCCCAAACGATTATGGCACTTGTATTTACTTGTGTATTGCTTTCATAATTATCAGCTGTTATGTACCTTTTAAATTTACTCGTTGTGACGTGTGATATGATGAATTAAAGTGTGCGGAATGCCAGTCTCTAGCTCAAAACAAAAATGGATTCAAGATCGTCTAGCCCTAAGATCAACAGGACTTCGAAAGTCAATGCTTGTACCTCGGCGTATATTTCTGAACTGACAAACTAATCCGCTGTCAAATACTCATAGCGCGTCTGATCTCGGATATATTATCCGAGTTGTGCATAGGCTCAAAAGATAACAAAGGTTAAGAGATCTACTAACTAAGACGCATGAAATAAAGGTAAACGAGTATTGTAGAGCTAAGAGCGCATGATTCTTGACCTTTCTAGAGAAAGAGTAAATATTGTCAAAAAGGAGCTTTCAGTACGAAAGGCTGAGAGATATTTGGTGAGATAGTACGAAGTGATCGATTATGATAATACAATACTACTGGAGACGGTAGAAGGACTTAAAATAACATGATAGGAATTCACCAGTACCGGTATATCACCGTTTGGTGGATATTTCGTTTGCACAAGCTTGTCCAATCATGCAGAGGTAGCGCTGACAGCCAAATAAGGGGTGGAGTGAGCTAACTAACATACTGGGGTTCGCACGTGGATATCTCGAGGCAAGAGATGATCTACCAAGTATGCAAGATAGAGGAGAAGCGAGCCTTCCAGGATTGAATAGACTAAGGCTGCACCTTTGGTATCATGACACATCAATGATCACTCAAGAAGAATACAGTGAAGGATCTTCTGAGCCAGCCGAGGGAAATATTGTAGACTGGATCATACTCCATTGACCTTGTTGATAATCTTGTCGTCGACACATTTTGCCTAAGGTAGTTAAGCTTGATAGATATGAATAGATACAAATTGTCAGAGTTGAGGATTGATATTATAAAATATTTTCATGCATCAAGTGTGCTAATAACACGCGCTTCCAGTGTGTGTGAAGTATGAACCCCGCTACACATTTATTCCGTCGCCACCAAATTGATACAAACTAGACAGAACAACATAGTATAATATTGAACGAAACCCTTTGTGTGTTGGAAAAGTTGTTGCAGCTTGTCGAATGCTGTTCTCACGACGGCGCAGGTTTCACATCAGTCTGGCATGAATGACTGCGGCATGCGATGAGATGGTGGCAGCCGTGACGGTGGTTCCAAACCACTTATGGTAGTAACAACAGAAACCGTTGACAAAGTACGAAATATGCATGCTTGATGTTGAGATAAGGGCAAGGTTATAATGCTGATCATATGGTTGTGTGAATATGGCATCGCATAGTGAGAGAGCTCGCTATAGATTCACGGAAAAATTCATAGAAACTACAGTCTGGAATGCTGGACCTTGCAAGCAATCCTAAACGATGCAACAGCAAAGTATTGATAGCGCTGCTTCAAGATTACCGATAGGCCTAGGCCTCAGGTTGGCCAGAATTATTTGACCTGTTATTGCAACTTTGTTGAGATTATGTTCGTGGTGCGCACCTCTACAGGCCGATTAGAACCGGCCCCTCGTTCAGATCGTTATGGAACACCCGGATATGGAATGATGTTTTCTTCGATAGTAGGGCATAAATTTGCCATGTACAAATCAGTTTACTGGGGCTCATCGACATGCGATTGCACCTTAGTCGAAGGGGCGCAACATTCTTGTGAGAGAGATACAATTGACATTTTAAAGTAAACTTTTGATGTCGATTAAGGAAATCGGACAAGAACCATGGCGAATCGCGTAGGGAACCATGATTGATGACTGCAGCAATGGTGTTCATTGGGTGGTAACCCTTGGTTTTGTAACATTCCTGGAAATGGCCTACACGAGGCGAAGCAAACCACTACATACCTACATGGAACATGGAAGTGAGAAACGACCTGTGCAGTAAGCTTTCAATGGCTGCTTACCATCATCCAATATGAATGTTGGACATCGAGGAGGATTGTTGGCGACTAACTATCTACCCGTTCCGAGGTATAATCTTAAATAAATCGGAATCAGGAGCATGAAGATCCCGATGATTTGGGTTTGGAACGGCGAGCTGCGTTGCAAAGTTTGGCGGTATCTGTCTGTACCACCACTTCACTGAAAGGCTAGCCACAGGTAGCGAGATGTGCTGCGCCGTCTACTCGGTTTTCAGGTCCCCGAGCTGGTAACAATAGGGACTCGATGAGCGAATTCTGTTGCACCCTAAATATGTAAATAGCCGGATGTCCCCAATACTGCTGGCTTCCGTTCCCTTTAGATTGGCGAAGGTGCGATAGTCTCGAGGACATGAGCTCGTGGGTAATGAATGACCTGTGATCTGTGATTCGTGATTTGGTGGAACAATCTTACAATCTTGGGGTTACTCGGTACCGAATGTGTGATAAATGCTTATACTGGACAGGAGGAGTGCGCGTAAAGATCTGGAACTTTGGAAATCGACCGTTAACGAGGTTGTTGTGAGGTTATGAGTGATTATAATTACACAACGCAATCACAGCAGCAGTACAAACGAAGATTAGGTCCTACAGTCTGTAACTGTTGTGACTTCCAGGCTTTCCTTTCCGGCTGCAAGTTCCAGGAACCCCGGAATTTCCACACGGCCATACCCGCACGCCACGCCGCACACTACGTGACGGTGACGGTGACTACTATTGATTCTCTTTGGGGTCCATCTCATTATACATTTGTAGAAGTACTCAAGTACGAGTACTGAGTACAATTACAATAGCTTTCCGGATAGGAGCATAATAGATTACATAATAAATGTCAGCATTTCCTCTTTTAGATATTCTTGCGAATTTCTGCATACATATTGCAAGGATTCTGTGACAAGCTATTAGAACCAATGGTTATATTTCCTTGTCAATGGAAGCTGTAATTGGCGATAACTTGTGATCGAGCTTTTGACCATTGACAGATGGGGAGTTGCAGATAACTCAACTGCATACAGTTGCAGATGTAATATCCAATCGCAAAGCATATATCAGCTTCTAGATGGATAATATAGGATGAATTAGTTCTGGTGGTCTAAAATGCCCCGATGAACTACTCGATATATTTATGTTCACATGCATTTGTTTCTTCTGTCAAACATGCGACCGTTCTAAGTATCGTTGATAATTCCTAATCTGGAAACTTCAGCGATTTCCTTGACACCCGTTGCTGTGATGACACTTTGCACTATAGCACCCATGACTCCCGCTGCCATTTGGGTATTATCCTCCAATATCCTTGAATGTTGTCTCTTACCGTGACACCACTGGTCGCTTGGATCTAGGTTGTTTGAGATCTTTAGTCTTTGAGGGGCTGGCTCATGGTCCCTCCACGATAATTGTGGCTTGTATAAAGCACGAGATGCTGCAAGTAAAAGTAAGGAAATCTGCAGGACAGAAAGCATGACAGCCTAGCCTATTACATGAAGTTGTTGGGTTTGACCTTCCCTCTGTTGGAAGCCATATGAAGTTCTATGAACATGGTGTCTCGGGAAGACAACATTCGGAGGATTGTACAAATGTTACAACCATGATTTGTTTCATCTGAATTGGCCATGACATCTTGAGCTGTACCTAGGTGGCTGCATTATGTTATGATCACATGTCTTACTGTTGTTCGGTGAAAGGCAAAAAACGAGAAGGAAATATCCAGGAAACGATTCACTAACTTTGTCTGTACTGTACATTCCCCAAATATGCAGCTACACGGCCAGGCGCAGGCATATGAAGCTATGGGTATATAAATTGATAACTGCATATAACAAATATGGTATATTCATAAGTTGACTGGCCATTTTATATCCCTCGACTCGCAGCTTCGATTATATTTCCGTAGGATCAAGGTCATTCATTCATTGTTGTATGGTTGTATGAATCGTACACGCATACCAGTGTGCAGTCGGTCGTCTGTGCAGCAGATATGCTATGCTGTAGCATCAAAACCTGCCAACCTGGTATGAGAAAGGACTCATCCGAGCGAGATCTGTCATATCCATCATGCCTTAAGCTATAACCGAGCCCCACGATCTCGGAGGACTCGGAAGATGAATATTTTCATCCCCAGGAACTTCATAACTTCATAATCAACTCAGAATGTTTCAAAATTTACACTTTTTCTATACGGGAAAGGGACGGAACGGATGAATCACTGACAAGACCCCTTCCTTCATCTAGATCTGTCGTCTTTCAAGGATCAGACTCGGTGTCTGGTCTAGGTGTCTGGGTGTGTCTGGGTGTTCAACGGTCCCCAGCCATCTAGCATTAGTAGGTATAGCAATATAGCATTCAATTTTCATATTACTGTACAGTACTGCATATTTCAAATAGAAGACCACCTCGTCGTTATGGTTGGTCCCAAGCAGATGGGTCGCTCGGGCCAGAGAAAAAACCCCCTGCAATCTCCCATCGTTCTGCATCCTGCAAGTGTTTTGCACTTTCTATTATCTCCCGATTTTGAATTGAAAGAACGGACTACTTCAGAACTATTGTATGTATATAGCAAAAATGATAATACTGTATTGTATATATTAACTGGTGGAGTGGGTATTCGGCGATTTGAATTTCCCCAAATCGATCAATCATGAATCATGAATCATGATATAAAGTTTCCTTTACAGCTGTCAATACTTCCCCCCTTCCCCCCCCAAGGATATGACATCCTAGAAAAATAAACTCCCGGTTGTCGATCATATCATGTCATTGACAATTTGACAGAAATTAGGCCAGTCAGTCACTTTTGCCTGAACGTCGGTCGTTGGCTTGCGATAGGTGAGAAAGTCAGAATTACTCCCCAGAACCCGGGATGTCTTGCCTTATGTTTATGTACTCGAGATATTATTGCCATTTTGTTCAGAAGAGGGTCTGATCTCCATGAATTTCAGCTTTAAGGTCTTTCCACATTGATCGGACTTTATTGGTTCTGTTTTAATATTCTTTTATTTCTAGATATTTTATTATAGAGAATAAATAAGTTTTCCCAAAATTATTGAATTATTTCTCGTATTCTTTTATTTATAAATGATACATATTATAGGGGTCTGTAGGGTTATTTATTCCCTTCGCTGAAAGTGTCAATATTATATTTCAAATTCGTCATGAATCAAGTAATATGACAATAATGACATTGCTAATGTTCTTTTGGTAATGATCATTTCCATTTCCTCTACCCATGCACTGCATATTACAAAGTTTCGATTTGGTAGGTAGAATTGGTCGAATTGGTCGAGTTCCCGAAGTGGGTTTCAAGATTAATAAAGGATACTGTACATTAATTAATAAATAAGAATCCTTACAGATATTGCAATTGTGCAATTGTGCAATTGTAAAGTCGTACTCTGATAACTCTGATATGTGGGAAGACAGGAGGGGAAACACAAGACAAGGCTGATCCCAGAAAGCATGAATAGATTTCAATGCACATACCAGGGAATTAGACCTAGGACTGATCTCCACCTGTGACCATCAAAACTGCCAAACTGAACATACATCGATACAGACCCCATCGATCAGCTATCAGCTACTATGACATGAATGTGTAGCTAATCAACAACAAGTAAGAAACACGCAGACCCATAAACTACATCAATCGGATATTAGAAGACCAACTAACTAGTAAACAATGAGTCAAATCGCAAGTCTTCCTTCAATTGTCCCCGATTTTTCATCACTCGTTCGGCAAGGTGCAGTTAAAGTTGCAGCTTTGGAACATCCCCCTGCTCGATATTGAATCAAATGTAATGTTTCCACCGGGGAATATAGCGGCTGCACTGCTGCACGGTTGAAAGAGCGTAAGTGTAAAAGAGAACCCCGGCACCGTGACTCTCGCATTTGACTTATGAGAACGACTTATGAGAACCTAGCTGGTGGGATGCATGCAGCTCCTCCTTTGCAGCGAACATCATCATTACATCTCACTAATATTCTTCATTAGAGATGCATACTATTATAGAGTTACCTGCCACCCCAAATTCAGTCATACAGTCAAGTATATCTATCTTAGTCCTCGTTGTATGACTCGCAAACCTACACCCTTTCAACCTTCTAGGAACCTTCCAGGAGAAATGACGCCACACTAGACGCTCACTTGGCTACAACCGTTCTTACCTCTGGCTCTTTTCTTAGTTTAACGTAAGAATACCTTCACGTAGCTTCGACAACGAGGCTATCCTAACCTCACATACCCCCTTCTTTATCAAAGCACAAACCTCGGACGGACATTAGATCCACCTCTAACGCTGCGGTATTCTTTTGGGGAAGATACCCCTGACACTTTGATCTTGTCCTCCCATCCTCTTAGCCTTCTATGGAAATCCCATCCCGGCAGCTGTGCAGCGGCCCGTTGATCTACATTATTCAACTCATCTGGTATACTTAAGGGTCTTCACTCCTCATTGCGTGTGTTTAACAGGCCCAAATATATCTTATATCAATTAGAGCTCAAGTCAGATTGCCTTCTATCACCCATTACCAACTCTATATACGACCCTGTGCAGAAAGTCGATTTCAATTCTTCCGTTTTTGTACCGACATCACCATCGAACATTCCTAGCCTAGTTGAATGTGAGTGTTCCGAAGGTAACGTCACCCGTCGTTGTTGGATTGTTCGAGGTCGGCATCGGGAAAACCTTCAAGTTACCATTGGAATATCTTGATCTTGCATCCAAGCAAGATAGTCATAAAGTCATTATCCTGGTAACAATATTCACGGCACTCTTCAACCTTTACCCTACCACTGCTAGTGGACGATCCAGTCCGGGTAAGTCATCAAACTAGGTCATTACTCCTCCCGACTTTCTTAGTCTGTCTAGTCTTTGAGGTTTTGTGGATCTTTGAATAAACTTCAAAACGTTCTTAATCATTAGCAAACCTTCTTTCGGAATTTTGTTTATACTTTGCCTTCAATCAACTATGACATCAAGTAATACCATTACTGACATTTCCAAAGAACAATACCCTCATTTACCTCGTCAAAACCCACGCGGAGCTGTATCGGGTAGAAACTCTGAAATGAACTTTCCCACTCCAGAACACTCTCACAGGCAAAACATCAATCCGAGAGATCCGTATGTCACCAAGGTTGTATCACAGAGACTCCGTGTATTCTCTGACCCTGATTGGCGTGGTCTTGACCTCGTCTCTGGAGGTTCAAGACCACGACTGACAAATGTCCAGGAATCACTTCCTTCCATTCGAACAGTAAGCTGCTTTGAAATGAGTTTGGAGACAGAGCTGACTTCCAATTAGATGTTCTCTGGATTTGAAAGCCAGGAAGGACCCACTGAGCCCGAATACAGGCACAATGCCAAATCATTTTCCCCCAATACAGCAGAAAGAACCTACAATACATCTCCTGGATCGATTGAGAGAAGGAGATTATCCAGTGATTATTACGATGAGGAGACTCAGCGGCAACGGGATCGATATCAACCAGTTGGAAGCGGTCGAAGCCCGATGATAGCGACAAGTGGCTATGACAGTGCAGCCGCTACAACGATTTCCTCTACTGCTCGTCGAGAAAGCCTTCAATCACTTTCAGACTTCAGGGCCTATTCTAGCCACGGAAGCTCCTATATTCCAAGACCCACCCGAGAACAATCTATCCCAGCAATCCCAGAATTCAGAGTCCCAGATCAAGATAATCACACTTCTAAACCACCATTTCATTCTCCAATCTCTGAGCCATCAAGTGTCATGTACCGCCCAAACCTTCCCAGCCTTACTACACCCGATCGATCCTATAATCGATCCTATTCCCAAACCCCAGCGGGACGTTCTCACAGCGACTATCCTTCTAGAAGCGAGTATGCATTGGAAGCTACCCGTCCATACCGCCAGCATAATCATGCTACTTCTCACGATAAATCATACACCTCTTCGCAATCTGATTATGGCTACCAACATCCCAGAAATCAATCCTTCTCTGGACCTCCCTGTCAACTCAATCAAGGAAAAACGCCATTCACCAACGGGTACCATTCAGGAGACTACAGCCTGGCTGCCTACCAAACACAAGATATGGGAGACATCAAACCCCGGAAGCGACGAGGGAACCTCCCAAAACCCATTACAGATGTTTTGACAGCCTGGTTCATCAACCACCTGGAACACCCCTATCCCAATGAGGAAGAAAAGCAATTACTGATGAGACAGACGGGATTACAATTGAGTAAGTCATCGACCGCAACAAACCTCGTTATCTACAACTGCTAACAAACTTTACAGATCAAATATCTAACTGGTTCATCAATGCACGTCGTCGCAAACTCCCTGCTCTTCAAAATAGCGCTCGCGCAGAGAGCGCTGCTAGATCGCATCTTAGGCATCATAACCGAATGCACTCAACTGATGATGGACAGAGTCCTATGAGCCTCTGCGATAGTGAAGTAGGGGTGAGCCCCTATGCTGCATCTGGGTCTATTGAAAGGTGGCCTTCATGCCAGGACGAACGACACATTCAGCATCATTATTAATTTTTTTCTTTGGGCATTAAAGGCGTGTATAGGAATAAGACTCGATGCCAACACCTGGGAAAGGGAGGCAAAGTCTACGCAATATTCTTTTCTTGATGGTTTCATTTGTATTACAACAATTCTGCGATTTGTTGGATTGGAGTTGGAACGGGATGTTTTTCACTTCTTACAAATGTAAGGTTCCAATAGGACTCGGCATTATCAGGATATGGCATGGGATCAACGGATTTGGGATGGGCAGCAACAGATACCAAAATCTGGGTTCTTCACTGAAACCAATAGTATGAGCACAGTGGAGTCAACCGACATAAACACAGACTCTCTATATTCTGGTGTATATTTAGTTCAGGGGTTTATTGGCTAATAGATACAATAGCACGAATATTGATTTGTACTGTAAATATTACAATAAACACATTACACATTACACACGCAGCCCCAGGAAATGACTTATTAATGGATGATCCCTCATTCCTCGTGCCGTCCGTCCACTATCCGGTCATATATACGTACCCACATCATCCGCTTTTGCTTGCTTACTCAATATTTCCTTTTCCCACTTTTCTTTCACAATCTCTTCGGACTTATATTCATACACATATTCATAGCACTTTAGTCACTGTACACTTGTACTCATCTCCATCCGTGTTTGCCAGGGCTCGCGCCTTTCCGAACCTCGATCATTAGGCCGCCAAGATTCATAACTTTCGCACTCAGATAACTCCACGGAAGATTTACCGGTATTCTATCTCCTCGAGAGTAGACGTGAATTGCACTGAATTAGACAGCTGCATGATCTTCGTTGTGACTCGGTGGATTTTACGAAATGGTAGTATGGTAGTGTTATAATATGTTCTGTTGATTCTTCAAGTCTCAAATCTCAAATCTCCATATATATACATATATATGTCAGATTCACTAATTTTTATAGCTAAACAGGTACCGCCATCGAGTCAGTCAGTCATGGATACATTGGAATCAGAATTCATTGAAGCTCCGCTTCGAGTCTATAGCACTCAAAAGGCTATTTGGTGTTCAAAGTTTTCAAATTCCGATTTAAAGATTAGTATAACAACCGAAATCTTCAAAAATTCGTATTGTGACAAATCTAGACATCGAACGAGCTCTTACTCTACGTTGTGTTACTTATATGTTTACCTGTCTTTACCTGCCAGGCCAGTCGACGAACCGCAATACTATCAATGGGGTAGTTCACTCATGCTATATGTAAATAACTAACTATGCTTTGCTAATATAGAAAACCAATATGTCAAGGCAAGAAATTCTCCGACTTTGGGCGTGAGAGTGAGTTTCAATATCATGTCAAGTCTCTGCGAGTCTGCAGAACCCTCCCTGCATGAGACTGGCACCGGGCAGCGCTCTGACATGGTGTGAGGAACCCGAGGTGAGTTGTATCACTTTGATTTTGATAGATGCAGGTTGACCTAAAGATCTATTCGAATTGACTTTGCGATGTACCAAGCAACACATGCATCATTATTTGTTATTGCGTGCCTACCCAGTTACAGACCTACGGTCCATGGCATCCACATGTCAGGACCCTCTGGTACCTGCACCATAGAGATAGTGTGCGCGCTTGTATTACAAAATTCCACTGAAATGTTGTTCAGTAATCAATAATTTGTATTCTGAGTCTTTACTAACATACGGTGATCCAGGTAGGCTTAGGGAAACTCGGTACTGAGAACCAGAATAGTTGACAAGCTGTCATTGGTAACTTAATTCAACTGCCGATGTGTCAATCGATTTTTGATGGATTAAAATTCTAGGCCGAAGTGGTCTAGGAAGTGCGTGGGGGGTTCCATGAGACTCATGAGATGATGAGAGGTCAAAGTGACCGGGTTAATCGGACATTGTACAATCAGTGGTGGTGGGACCGAGATTCTGGGGTCGACATGACATGGTAATGAGTAATTTTATTGAATATATTCAAGCCCACTTGATTCAGAGGGATAAATACAAGGACCGGGATGAATTTAGCTCGTGCGCTGGGCCGGCAGATGTTACTTTCTCCAGTGAGAAACCAACAAATTGCCAGTTACGGAACGGACGATCCCTATTCTCTGGAAGCATTGCAAAGGCATTCTCCGCCAAACTTCTGCGTTGACCTCCCAACTCGTTGTTTGTTATTAAATATATGCGGATATTAGATACATGCGGACAAGAAATGTTCAGCACGCTGATGCGTCATGTCAAGATGAACTTCAACCTTTCAAACTTCTCCCTGACATTTTGTGTCATATTCATGCCGCCTCCGAACTCCTTTGATATAAGAGGGACATGCCCGGCAGATCTCAACATGTCTCTGTTATATCCGGTGACAGCTGCCACATAATCAGTCACTTGACATTTCATGATCCTAAGTCATTGACGGTATGTTTCCATTTACGGTTCTTCTTCACTCAACTAGGCTTAGCTGAGGGTGCGTATCCTAATCATTCCGGGACTCGATGCAGATCAATTGACCCCGTATTGATTTGGCTTTCCGAAATTCGCTAGTGTATGTACCATTTCTTGTTCCAACATGGTCATGGCATGATGTCAATCGGTGTTAAGCATGGTTATTGAATTCGAAAGGATTCCAATTCTCCTAGCAGATCAGCCCACCGCAATTGATAACCACGACATTCAACCGAGTGATCCATTGGAAATGAAAAAAATAGACTGCGATGCTGGTGGCTAAATCCAGTGCCGGTTACTGTCTGATTATCGGCTAGGACCGTCTGTTTTGAGTCTTTTGACATGTCATAGCCGCCGATGACATATTATACCCGCCTCGTTTTGTCCGTATAAGTACTAGCAAGTGAGAGAGCGGCAGACAAGCATGCTCACTCACCACTGGCACAAAGCCAAAACCATCTCATATGAGAATTTCAAAACTCAAGTACTGTATTGAGAAGCTGGTAGAGGATTTGAATTGATCACATCATCCTGGCAAGTTGTTATTTGCCTTCTGAACGGTCAATCAACGAGATATGAGAAGGAAAAGAGGAAGAAAAAGGCGAGAGAACGAAATAAGCTTTCTCAAGTTCCCTGCGCACATCAGTCTTGTCAAAATCAAACAAATCAATGCATCCCGTCGATCAATCAATCAATCAATCAATCAATCAATCAATCAAAAGTGGAAAATCCCCCGAAGGCCCACTAAGGTAATCAGGGGTCTCCCGTCAGACAACGCTCCATCTCGTCTCGAATCTCTCTTGTTCAGTGGGCACCACAGTGACTACACAGACACGCTAAGCGCACACGCCGCCTTTGTGCACCGTAACCATGCAGCCCATACGTTTCTAGATGGGAGGAAAACCCTGATTTGGGAGCATGTCCGCTTTCCAAGTAGTCCCTAAAACTTCTAAAGGGAAGTTCACAATTGTGAGATCTTCGTTTTGGGTATTGCCTGCTCACAGCCTCAAACAAACCGAAATGCTATGCCGAAGTCCGGATCGTCTTTTATTATTATTTTATATTTTGGCGCCCTTATTGGACATTGAAGCCTTGGAGGATTGATAAACCTGTTGGAGATCTTCGTTTAGATGATGGGTGGGTTGCCCCTTACCGAGTAGAAGGTCCGGGTGTATTTCTCCATCTGCTGAGGGCCGGTAATGGCACCAGTGGAGTCTGGACATATCAGTGGATATGAATGAACATTGAACAGGATGGATGTTTAAATCTTTGAGTGAAATTTCGTTTGCTAAGTTCCGATTGGTGGAAGGGTAAATCACGGGTAGGAACGTTATTGATAACCTTGTTCGTATGTAAATCATTGAAGAACGCCGAGAACGCCAAAGTGAGTGAGGGAGGGATAAGATGGTATGACAAAAGCGATAGTTTTACTTGAGCGAGGGGAGGGGCGAGAGGTGGAGAAGAGAGTTTTATTTTTCTTGCCAGGCCCGCTGTCTTGTGTGAGACTATGAGTGAAAGCCCAAGAATGGACGATCATCTAATTTTGCAACATTCGCGTCCAAACGCATGAGTGAAGTGCATGATGATATAGATTGCACTCTTCAGGATTATGGCGTTAAAGAACTCCGGCTCAAGTGAGGATTTACCCAACACGGGGGCTCTGGTGGAAGTCGAATGAATTTGGGAGTCCCAAGTCAAGAGGTGTGGCTGTGCACATTTTCCGCGAGCCGCAGCAAATCAAATCCAATAAGTCTACGAGTAGATGGGAGTAATGGAGGTCATCAATCTACATGAAACCACAGGTTCTGGGGATATAGGACGAAACACCAGGTTCAAAAGCTGGTACAAGGAGGTGATGCTGTGCTTTGTTTGAAACCCGGGACCCAGAAAGGAGAAAAAAGGTACACCAAATTCGGCCCTTTGAACTGAAGATATAAATACTCATGGAACATTCAAGATCTTCGAAACCACATCTGGATCCGCGAGAATGGGAATAATGGATGAAGGTTCATCCTATCGAGTTTTACAAGTTCATCCGCCGGATTAATCATGCCACTTACAAGGTTGAAGAAGTAACAACCAACGAGACATACATTGATAGAAGTTTGTATCGCTATGGCCCGATCGTGGAGATGATTCCGATGCCTGATTGTTGTGTTGGTTGTAAGTAGGTAGGTAAGTAGGTAAGTAGGTAGTTGGGAATGGCATGAATTGATACAGTCAGTACCTTCTCCTCGGGTGTACAGTAGTAGATACACTATTTGAACAACAAAACCACCCTTACCTCCTCCATCTTCATTCAATCTTCACCGTCATTATCACCACCTAAAATCTTTTGTTGCACATCTGATTGAATAATTATCATGAGATTAGGTTAAAAAATAATCTAAATCAACTAATTTCTATCCATCCACTTCAAATCTCCTGAGCTTGTTATTGAAATAGATTCTCTCAATACTTGCCATTTATTTATGTTAAAATTATCTATGCAATTTTGTGATTATATAATACTGCTCTCTGAGAAACTTCATGTTCACCGACACCCTCCTAATTCAACACCCAACTCTCGCCCTCCATGCCATTCCTCACTTCCTTCTCCCACAAACCCTTCTAAGCCCTCCCCTCAGCAACTCTCATATTGTTCCCCCATCCTCAACCTCCCTTTCGACATTGTCTATTCTCTATTGGACCCATGACCCAACCACAACCAAACCATATAAACATGTATAAAAACACACTTTCCAAACATTAAAAGACTACAACATTACCTCTTACCTCTTACCACTACCCTCTCTCCCATACACTCTCGACCTATCTCGTGCTTTACCAACCCCATCCTTCCTCTATTTCCCTCTACCTAAATCCCACAAACCAGCATCGCAATTCCATCGCCATCCCTTCGATGACAGCAACTACAACCATCACACCAAACCAACCTCGTCCTTTGCCCTCTCTGAGATTTCAGAACAAGATATACAAGACACCCAATCAAATAGCACCAATAGACATGGCATCTATAGGGGGTGATTAAGGAAGGTAGGTTGCATGAGTTGAGTTTAGAAGTTGAACAACGCAGACACATTACATGACTTGAACACAAGTTATAGACACTATCAATAAATGACCAAGTAAAAAAGCGAATCCACGGAGCAAACAACTCACTCAAGAATCAAAACACGTATGATCATAATCAGATCTTCATTCATTCTACTCCTTAGCACTAATCCTCTTTTTCGAATTGTGCAAATTCGAAAGACAATCAACCTCCCATATCTTCCCATTCATCCAAACACCAAAGAACTATACAACACAGACAGAAAAATGTCCCTTTCCTGCCCATCCATCGTACACGAACATCACTCCGCAATCCAAAGTAACGCCACCCCAAATTCCGCTCCAAATCATATGGATTTGAGTATTTGTCCAATCGCTCCTAGTAGTTGTCCTCAACTTTAGAAAGCAAAAATGAAACGCCATAAAACACAAACGCAACATTCATGGTATCTTTTGTAATCGTAGTGCCCTTACGCTGAACAATTACTAGTCTCGGACTTTGATTGAATTCTTCGCTGTCCCGATATGGGTGTTATGAACCTAGTATCATTGTTAGTATTTGGTGATGCTGTCAAGATGTGTAGAAGCTTACCTTCGTCGCAAATTTCAGACTTGTAAGTGTCTCGCCCAAATGAGCCTCCAATGGGCTGGCCATGACGAACATGAGTGTCTTCGAATTGCCCCCAAGAGAATATTGTAGGAGATAGGTCAGCTTCGAATTCCTGTAGGGAATATGAGCTCCTTCTTTCCCTGATCCTAATGCCCCAATAACATCACCTAGACAACTCAAGCTTTTATTAATGTTCTGTGTCTCCTTCATTCGCTCTCCCTCGGCACCAGATACTTTCAGTCTTTCCGAACCAGCCAGATCTACCAAGTTAAGGGTGCCTTCAGACGTCTCGTTTGTGGTGCTATTTCGTCCGACAAGCTTCAAGATAAAGACAGAGTGTGATCTCGATGATCGTTCGTTGGATTTGGTAGCCGCAACGCTGCGATTTTTGTCTGCTTGCTTAAGAATGGCTTCCACAGCGTTTGGTGAATCTAGAGACACTATTTCCAATCCAGTAACGGTGGTTTGTTTCTTCTTATCATCATGTCGGATCTCGTGTTTCTTCTTGTCAAGATCTTTAGAGCTTCCAAGTAGATCATGAATCTCTTCGTTATAAACTTCGACAAAGCTACCTTCCATTGTATAAGTCCATCCCTTCTCCTTGAGGAGTTCGGCGGACTCATATATTTGATGTGTCGCCCGTGGAATCATACCATCAGCAGATGACATGGTATGTGTTTTACCAGCACCTGTTTGACCATAGGCAAATATGCAAACGTTGTATCCATCCAAAGCACTTTGGACCAATTGAGAAATTTCTTCGAACACCTCTTGGTTCTGGCTTGTAGGTCCAAATACTCTGTCGAAGGAGAATGCGTGAGTTTCTGTTGTGACCTTTCCAAAATTACTTCTCTTCTCCTTGCCAATAATCGATAGCTCTTTGGACTCTTTGTCGGTATCTGGGAATGAAAGTTTTGCGCATTCACCCTCTACACCTTCCTTGAAAGTTGGTCGTACTCTGCACATGACTCGAATGTTTCCTTTCAATTCTTGAACCTGATTGAAAAGAATGCGACGAAGAGTCTCTTCCTTGATCAATTTCTTCTTGGACTCCTCTGCCGAATCAAGAGCTTCTTGAAGTCGACCTTCCATCTCAACAAAACTATCGGACTGTGCCTTGCTTCCAGACTCTAAGAAATGAATCCTTGCGCGAAGACTGGCGACCGTGCTTTCCAATGTTCCAATTGTTGCTGATGTTTCAACACCCGTATTTTGCATAATTTGTTGCACTTCCTTGATAGTATTTAAAGCGTTATCCTTCAATTCTTTCTCTCGACCAAGACTTGTCTTCAACTCTTCAAGCTCCTTTTTCAACATCTGGACTTCTTGCTCCTTCATTTGCAGCGCAAGGTTCAAGCCTTGGTGTCCCGTTGAAACCTGGTTTTCAAGCTCCTGAACTTCGCGTAACCTTCGCTTTCTCTCCTCCTCCAGTTTTGCATCGTTTTGCCGCTCGAGAATTCGGACTCGGTCGTCGAGTTCGACAGCAGCCTTTCGTTCGAGCTCAAGCGTGTTATTCCTGTAGGTACGAAGAAGTCGGTCAAGCTCATCTGTGTTGTCCCGTCTCATTTTATCAGTCTCGTTGCGATAGTTTCGGTTCACGTCGTCCATCTCAAGGCGATGCGCTCGAATGTTGTCATCAAGGGTAGTAGTAGCTTCAAGTAGTCTTTGTTGAATCATGTTTAATCTCTGAGTTGTATCATCTAGGTTAGTTTGTAAGATCTGATTGGAAGATGTAAGATGTGTTCGTAGGCCTTCAAGTTCGTCGACTGTCATGGGAATAGATTAGCCAGTGTAAAATTTATAGAACCTCCAATTGCTACTCACGTTTAGCTTTGTATGCACCAACTGCAACTTTAAGATCGTCGTGGTCCTTGTTTGTGCCAGTAAGTGTTGACTCGATCCTCGTGTACATTGCTTCCATGGTTTCGAGGCGACCACGCACATCAAACGCTACCAACGCATGAACATTAGAATCTTTTGTCAAAAATGGAGTTTTAGTAGGGGAAAGTTTAGAAGTTTGGCAAGGGGTAACAGGTGTAGGAGTAACAAATCCCGACTTAGCAAGGACAGGAATGTGAGAAGGCGTCTTCGGAGCTACTGAGCTATGATCCGGTGCCTCATATAGAACAAGTGCGGCTTCTTCATTGTCTAATCTCATACTCCGGTATCCTAAGCTCTGGGAATGCATGTGTCGAGGGCGGGAATTCTTCCTTGGAGATGAACTCAGGTTATATCCCGTGGATGGACTAGTCTGCTCGTCATTGACCTTGAGCCTACTCAATGCCGTACTAACGGATAGATCTCGAAGGTCTTCCTGGGAGCGTAGAGACCTCATTGAGTTGGTTGAACAATGACCTCGGACTTTCATTACTTCCAACCCGGAGTCCCCATTTAACTGACTGGATGAAGCAATAGCAGGTACTGGGAGCATTGGTCTTCGCCTTCCTCCAGGGGGTGGCATACCGTCATCATCCGAGGAGGTGGAGTCCTTTGAAACATTTGGTCGACCCTTCGCTTGGGATGTATTTGGCCTAGATGTTGTAGATTGACTTTGTGACGGTGGGCGTTGTCCATAAGCCGACTTTGGTCGTCCAGGTCCAACACTTTGTGAGAAACTGCTACTTGATGTGTGACGCGAAGATGCTGATGGCGTTTGAGATGATATCGAAGAGGAATGGGACGTATTTCGTAGTTGAGTGAAATTGTTTGTCATCTGTGATATGTCAACGGATATTCCTCATCATGAAGAAGCCAGACTCACGTCTACCAGAGTAGTTCCCTTCACTGGCGGTAGTTTTCGTACGGAAGGTGTTCGAATCATTGCAGATGTAGCAGGTTCTCCTGCTCTATCAATAAGAGTCTTGCGTTTGGCTGCCGGCTCATTGCTTGACTTATCATTTTGACGCTTCAAGGTTGTAGGTTGCGGCATCTTCGAGGGAAGTCGTGATCGTGTATTGCCATGAGAATCTGTGATTTCCGCGAGAGGCTTTCCTAACGAAGGAATGGCACTCGTTGTAGGCTTGGGTTGCGATGTGCGCGAATACTATTCAATGCGGAAAAGTCCCTTATCAGTGTTCATCCTCACTTCAAGTTGCAAACATTTGTTTATTGACATCAAATGCATACCTGATTTTCTTCTTGGTACTCCATAATAAGAAGTAGCAAATGCTGCTACACAGAATTAAAATGGTTAGAACATGCAAAGATAAAAAGAATTTGAAGGGTTAGTAGCGCGTTGAAAAGCGAATTATCAGATTGTCGTTGTTGTCAAATGGTAAATGGTAAATGGTAAATACAATCAATATTCGGTCGTTCTTGTGATGTACAGTACAAGTATTATTGTTCGTATTTTCAAGCTCGTCTGTTTATCGATGGATTGAAGTCTTTGGTTGCTGGGGAGAATATTGATGACTAAGGATTTATTTTATAAGTGTTACCAGTAAATGTATGCACGTGATTATGCAATCCATATAATCCGTATAAACTCGTGTCAAAGCCATATTACCTTACCAAGTTGGCGTTTGAATAATGAAAGTAAGTATTTATAAACATACGATTCAGCTTACAACACTCTTGATATACTTTAAGGTCATGATATTATAGTATCTTCTCATAATCCTTTCTTCATCGAAACTTATCTCCAGACATCTACAAACCACTTACCATGGAGAAATACTCCCAGTTTCGAGACAGAGGTACGTACTGTATTGTATACTATGTACTACATCCTTCCATCCTGCAAAGCATCTACTGCAATAGGAAGATCCCAACTAATGCACCTCAACACCAGGATCTGGAATTGCTCCGTTCTTCCCCGTTCAAACTTCAAGTGTGGGAATCTATGCGCCCGTCTACCTTTTCCTTTTCCTCTTCAAACTACCATTCTTCCTCACAGCATCCACGACATATTTTCTCTTCTTACAATGGTTTCCGCTGGGGTCGCTACTCAAGAAAGCAATATTATGGATGATACTTGGGATACCGGGAGTGTGGTGGATAGACCTACAGATTGACGGAGTAAAGAAAGGTTCATTGGCAAAGAAACATGAAGGACGGGTACCCGAGCCTTCGGATATTATCGCAAGTTCCTTTACATCGCCTTTGGATTCTTTATATTTGGCTGCTATTTTCGATCCTATATTCACAGTATCGTACCCTCATACCCGTCAGGTTCATCAAATCTCCCTTCTTGGCGCAATCTTTCGCGCTCTACAAAGTCCCAAAGAATACCCACCCAAAGGCGCAAAAATGACTGATTTGACCGCTCTCCTTATTTGCTACCCTGGACGAGCCATCGTGGTCTTCCCCGAATCTACGACCACCAATGGAAAAGGAATACTACCCGTGAGCCCCAGTCTCCTGACTGCTCCATCAGGAACCAAAATCTTTCCTATCAGTTTGCGCTACTCGCCCTCGGATATCACAACACCTATCCCTGGGAAATACTGGTCATTTTTCTGGAATCTTCTCTCGAGACCTACACATTGTATCAAAGTACGAATCGCCGAGGTCGTATACAACACATCCAAGCCTGACGACCCTTTGAAAAAAAGGGATTCTAAATATCTAAAAAATCTCCTCGATGATGTTAACGGAGACACTACATACACAAGTAGCACTGATAGTCTCACATCAAAGAATGATCAATCCGCGGAAACAACATCGGAAGAACAGCGTGTCTTGGATAAAGTCGGGGAAGCGTTGGCACGATTAGGAAGAGTCAAACGTGTAGGTTTGACCGTGCAGGACAAGATTGCATTTGTGGATGCATGGAATAAGAGGAGATAGTAGTGTTGAAAGATGAGACATTGGACATGTACATCTTTTGGAAGAATATTATACGAAATTCATGACTTTAATGCTAAGTTGGCATCAAATATATAAAAAATGGAGTCCGACGGTGATTTCAACCATGGGAGCGATTAGCATAGTTTGCAGGCTTCGTAACTCAAATAATATTCATATTTATTCATTCTTGAAGTTATCAAGCTGTCTGTCTGCAATCAAGATGTTCGTTCCCACAGCTCTGACCTTTTTCCGTGTGCATAGTTTTGAATCCTCAATCTGATCTCAAGTCGAATGATACTTTCACCGATTTGAGGTTTGTATTTGTGAACAACACTACTACTCAATGCAGCGTGGTTCAAGTGATCGAAAATCTCAAGGAACTTGGTAGTTCTCCCAACATTCAGCGAATACTTATGTATAAGTTTCCCCGGTTTTGAACAAAGATAGAGATGACTTTTCACTTCCGAGTACGTCAATATGGAAACTCATCTCAACCGCTGTGATTAAGATTAATTTTTCGAAATTCACATTAGCATCATTCCATGGTGATGTATACAAGACAGGATGCTACTGTTGATACTATATTATGATCAGTTAATATAACCGACCGACTCACCCCGGATTTCACTCTCATCCCAGCCTAGAGGAATTCCGCGAAAGTTTGGTGAAATATTGAGCTATTACACGTCCACATCAGCCCAGCGGGGTCGGGGTCGCTTCACCTTCATAGTGATATACCACTACGTATAGGTACTATGTTGTGGCGATGGGAGTTGATGAAGAATGGGAAAAGGAGATGCTCGGGAGGGGATCTTGGGGGCGTGTAATAAGGATATAATTAAGGGGAAGGTCTGGTGGGTGATGGGTGGGTAGTAGAGGAAGAGTGAGTGGACAGCCAGAGGAAATAATGAAGATGATACTTTACATCATTGATATAATTATGGGTATAGGAAAGAAGATCGATCACGCTCCTTCTTGAATTAAAACACAAATACATATCGGCGCAGACACGCCCTGTATGAAAGGACCTGTTTCGAACTCGGGATTTTATTCATATAGTTGGTTAAATTGTTCTAGCGATTGATTCGGTGTTTGAGAGACAGGTGTGGATGGAGAAAGGAATGAATAGTGAGAGCTGGGGGAAGCGAGGGAAATGAATAGGAGGCGGGAGAATGGGCATTAGAGGAGCATGGGAACAGTAATGGACAAGATGTGGGTAGAGGTCTTTTTTGTTATTGATGGGTAGTGCTTGATTTATCCAAGGGAATAGAAGATTGAGATACAGAGGTACGGGGATAGTTTATTATTCTTGCGAGTATCGAGTTAAAATCCTGTAAAATGTACTTCACCACCGGGTATGAGAATCACAATGTGATAAAGAACTTGAGAGCAACACAATCTAAAGTTGAACTCAAACTTCCAGCCTTATACCCCTCCCATTCAAATCCCCATCTAATTATCTTCCCTAAAGAGAAAAACTAATTTTAGTTTTATTATAAATAATGTTTTCTATTTTCTTTAATCATTCTTCTTTTATAATTAGAAATATTAAATTATAATTATTTTTATAATTATAAATTATATATATTTTATAAAAGTTATTTGTATTAAATGTAATTTTTCTTTTTTTATAAAAATATATTCTTTTATTATTAAATAATTTTTGGATTTATAATTTGTTATAAAATGATTTTATAAATGATAAATTTGTATTTAATCTTAAAATATATAAGATTTTTAATTTATATATTAGATTATTTTATATAATTTCTATTATATTATATTTTCTTATAATCAATTTTTTCTTTTTAATTTAGATTTTATATAATTTCAAAAATAGTTATATATTTATTAGAATATCACTAAGATTATAATAGGTATAATAGTAGTAATATGGTATATATATATTCTTAGAGATATTCTAGTAATATTGGATATATATATAAGTATATAAGATATGTATATATAAATAATATTATATGATTTTGTACTACACTTCCAATATCTCTATATTAATTAAAATAATCAATTATAAAGTATTATCAGATTATATACCTGAGTTCTATCTCTAAATAAATTCAAGAACTTTCTTAACTCTTATAATAATAAATAATATTATAATATCTAATCTCCTATGAAATTTGATTATTCTATAATAAATATATTACAATATAAGAGTACC